TTTGGGTTTTGATCAATCGTTGAACCAAGACTAAATCATCATTGGTCGTTACAGCTGGCCAAACAAGCTTACTCGATAAATATTACAAATCATATAACCCAAATCATCAAAATCACTCCAAACTGCTGACAAGTCATTGACAAGTCACCGCCAAGTTGGTTGTTGCTAATTCATCAGTGTTGGCAGCTACAATAATCAATCAACATATGTTTTGAAAATTGTTTTGAAAATCGATTCGCACAATCTGCACAACTTTTGGACGAGTCATGATCCAAGATACTATCGCTGTTGGTTTTGATGTTATAACCAATTCAATGCCACATCCAAATGTTGTCAAAATCATCCAAAAACTATTGTGTTGACAAGCATGTATATTGGCATCAATTACATTGTAAAAATAGTCGTATAGTTTAGAGTGATTGCTCGCGAGGTCAACAATATCACCACATTCACGAGACGGAACTTTTACAAAGCTACAAATCATATACTGCATGCATGTCGTTGGCATCGAGTCTGTGATTGTTGAACAGTGTTATGGTCTTGATTGTAGTCAGTCCACCAAATCCAAAATGTGTTGGGTTTGAAAATACTATATATTTTCAAAACCATTGATCTGACAATTAGGTCGCATCTTGTTGAATCCCAGTCTGAATATTTGACACCAGCTGTTGCAATTGCATCCAATAAACCAGCATTGATGCTTGTATCATGAACACCCTGAATATCAGTCATGGCATTATCCATGCATATACATGTATGTTTGGTGGCAATTTGTCTCCAAATGCAATTTTGGATTTGACATTGTCATGCAGTCAAACCATGTTTTTTTGCAAAACATCGGTAAAGGATTGGTAAACATGCAGATCTCAACCACAAATCGTTCAAAAGTTACAAATACAAGTCATCAAAAAACGTATATCGTTGTCATCAGACAATTTACCATCACACTGCACGACACTTGTACAAAGTTTGTTGGACAAAACTTGGTTGATATCTAGGATACGGTTGAAACTGACAAGCATGTGTGTTCATATTGTCACCAGTGTTGTATTTGATATTCAATCAGTGTGTATTACACTGTCTGACCAATATTAACCACACTACACTAAATAATCAAATGCCAAAAAATCTGTAAACAGAGCAAGACACCACTCTAATTCATTATTTGCCACAAACTACCGACTGATCAAATGTCGTTGAGATATATAACACACTATCAAGACGTGTAATATGTCGAGTTGCAACAACACTAAATACATAATAAATGCATAAATTCC